TGTATCATATCTTATTTTATTGTATCTTATCTTATCCTATCTTATTGTTTTTTATCTTATCTTATCTTTTATTGTATCATATCTTATCTTATCTTATCTTGTTTTATTTTATTTTATCTTATCTTATCTTCTTATTTTATTGTATCTCATCTCATCTCAACTCATCTCATCTCATGATTTAATATTTTTAAATTATGTCACCAGTCTGTCAGAAAAATTAAAGTTATGTGCAAATTGGGTTTTTTTTTAAAAAGACTAGAATGAAGCAAAATAATACAAATAAATAACATAATTACAAAATAAATTCCAGCAGGGGAAAAGGCTTCCCAAGTCAGTTTTTGTCTCGTTATGAAAGTAATGCAAACAGTATATCAAATGACATTAGAACAACAAAACCTGTTTACAATCAAGAGATCTCATTTCAAAATAAGCTGTAGGTGTGTCTCTGGTGCATTTCTGGTTAAAACGTTCTTTTTGGTGGGATTGTTTTAAAATGTACTCAATTAAGAGTAGTGATACTTCACAATATTAACTTATTTATTATAAGTAAAGTAACAAACAAGTATGATGTAGTAACGCTACTCTTAAAGGTATTTCCCCCCTAAAAAGTTACTCAAATAAATGTAACTGAGTAAATACCCACCTCTGATCTCCAGTATATGTCGGAGATCAATCTCAGCTACTGTCACGCCAAATTTTAGTTCGTGTGTAAAATTCACAGAGATTATCTTTTTTAGGTGCATTGGCTGGGGTAGCCATCTTGAAATGTATTGAATTTAACCAGAGGTGGGCAGTAACAAAGTACATTTACTTGAGCACTCAAGTACAGTTTTTGAGAATTTGTTCTACTTTACTTAAGTAAGATTTTTCTTTCTTTTTTTTTTTTTACTTATTTACTACCCTACACTTTAATGATAAAATCCTACATTTTACTTCACCACATTTCTCTAAAGGCTTTAGATATATAGCTATTTGTTATTTTTATTTGTGTGTGTCTATTTTGTTCCACTAATACCATAAAATCACACACTACACAACTTATAGGTGATGGTAAGCAGRTTTAAACTGGTTGCAAGAAGAAGAATTATTTTGTCTTACTAGTACTGCCTTAAAATGACACTAGGTACATCCTGATTAGTCCTGATTTTAACATCTGATTTAAGATCAAAGTAAAAGCGTTTTAGACTTTTTGTCCCCTTGTTCTAGTAATGGGTGTTTACTGAATAAACTGTTTTGTACAAAAGTCTTTCCAGTACTTTAACTTGAAAAATAATTCAATAATCACTTTTTTATTGTAGCAATATTTAACCAGTAGGATCAGTACTTTGACTCAAGTAAGGAAACTTAGTATTTGTCCACCACTGACTTGTTGATCTACAGCAGGTAAAATAAGTATTGAACATGTCACCATTTTTCTCAGTAAATATATTACTAGAGGTGCTAATGACATGAAATTTTCACCAGATGTTGGTAACAACCCAAGTGATCCATACATACAAAGAAATCAAACCATAAATGTCCAGAGATGAAGTTATTTGTAATAATGTGGAATGGCACAGAGAAAAAGTATTGAACACACTTACTGAAATTTATCTAATACTTTGTACAAAAGCCTTTGTTGTCAATGACAGCTTCAAGACGCCTCCTGTATGGAGAAACTAGTGGCATGCATTGCTCAGGTGTGATTTTGGCCCATTCTTCCACACAAACAGTCTTCAAATCTTGAAGGTTTCGTGGACCTCTTCTATGAACTCTGATCTTTAGTTCTTTCCATAGATTTTCTGTTGGATTCAGGTCAGGTGATTGGCTGGGCCATTCCAGCAGCTTTAGTTTCTTTCTCTGAAACCAACTGAGAGTTTCCTTGGCTTTGTGTTTGGGCTCATTGTCTTGCTGAAATGTCCAGCCACGTTTCATCTTCATCATCCTGGTAGATGGAAGCAGATTTTTATCAAGAATGTCTCTGTACATTTTTCCACTCATCCTTCCTTCAATTATTTGAAGTTTGCCAGTACCATATGCTGAAAAACAGCCCCACACCATGATGTTCCCACCTCCAAACTTCACTGTTGGTATGGTGTGTTTGGGCTGATGTGCAGTGCCATTTGACCTCCAAACATGATGTGTATTCTGGCATCCAAACAGTTCAATGTTGGTCTCATCTGACCAGACTATATTCTCCCAGTGTTACACAGGCTTGTCTAAATGTTGTGCAGCAAACTTTAAAGGAGCTTCAACATGCTGTTTCTTCAGCAGTGGAGTCTTGCGTGGTGAGCGTGCATACAGGCCATGGTGGTTCAGTGCATTACTTATTGTTTTCTTTGAAACAAACGTACCTGCTAATTCCAGGTCTTTCTGAAGCTCTCCACAAGTGGTCCTTGGCTCTTGGACAACTCTTCTGATKATTCTTTTCACTRCTCTGTCAGAAATCTTGTGAGGAGCACCTGGTCGTGGTCGGTTTATGGTGAAATAATGTTCTTTCCACTTCTGAATTATGGCCCCAACAGTGCTCACTGGAACCTTCAGAAGTTTAGACATTCTTCTGTAACCGATGCCATCATTATGCTTTGCAACAATAAGGTTGTGAAGGTCTTGAGAGAGCTCTTTACTTTTACCCATCATCAGATGGTTCTTGTGTGACGCCTGGTCATCATTTGGGACTGAACCAGCTGATATTAACTTGCACTGACAAGGGGCAGACTTGCTTTCTAATTACTGAGAGAGTTCAGCTGGTGTCTTGGCTTTCCATGCCTTTTTACACCTCCCTTTCTTCATGTGTTCAATACTTTTTCCCTGTGCCATTCCACATTATTACAAATAACTTCATTTCTGGACATTTATGTTTGATTTCTTTGTATGTATGGATCACTTGGGTTGTTACCGACATCTGGTGAAAATTTCATGTCATTAGCACCTCTAGTAATATATTTACTGAGAAAAATGGTGACGTGTTCAATACTTATTTTACCCGCTGTATATCCAATGATTTTCATTACATTTTGTCCAGAGATTCATGAACTATTTTGATTAAGAGGCAATAACTGATCATTTTGAAAGTGTGTTTGACTCACTAATGTTAAACATGCGGTTGTTTTTATGCAGGGTTTTCACCAGGCCTGCCAGCCGTGGTGGAAGATCAAGCTGTTTGTGTGGGAGCCGGTGCTTTTTGGAACCTGGGATGGCGTCTTCACCACCTGCATGATCAACATCTTTGGTGTGGTTCTCTTCCTGCGCACAGGCTACCTGGTGGTCAGTTTAAACATTTATTATGACTTTTTTGTTGAGTGTGCGAAATATCGCTAAAGACACGTTTACCTCACTCGCATGGCGGCAAATTAATTGCAATCATGCAAATATTTAAGCTGCGTTTAAAAAATGGCTTCAGTGATGTTGATGGTTCAAGCACAGAAAACTCACAGCTGATTTTTTTTATTATTTTTTTGCAACAGAAAAATTTTATGTAGTTATATAATACCTAAATGTGACAGGATGCTGTGCACAAGTCTGACTTCTTACCGACGTGCAAGTGTGAAACACTAATTTGCTTCCTGTTATGTAACACTGTTTTCCATTGTGGCTTAAAAGCAACACATAGACTGAAAGATGGTTTAATTTTTTATTATTTTTGTGTACATCTCAGTTGAGCTTTTTATTTTCACTTTTAACCATCACTGTTTTTCGCCCTGATGCCTTTAGCTCAAATTAGAACTAAACTTGTGACAAAGTGATATTTTGTTATATTTTTTACGGCTCAGATATAATCCCTCGCGCAGGAAACAAGGTTTTTAATCCAGACCGAGATGCAGCTCATCAGAAATTTTATGCTTCTGAAGGGAAACGGTGTAGCTAAGCGTGGCTGCTGTCTCTGATTTCAACACCTGCTCACCAGGCTGTTAGGAGGTTGTTGTTTTTTTACTTAGATTTAAAGAGACTATAAGGCAGAATAACAAGCAGCTAAGAGCTTTAACTGCACTCAAACAGTCCAGCCTGTGAAACATCTTTATCATGGGGATGAAACTTGGCACTGAAACCCAAATTAAAGTTGGCYTTAATTTATATAATTTTACAAATAAGTTCAGTTTTAAAAACAAGTAGAATRATAAAATAAAAAATGTCTTCATCAAGTTTGTGCATTACTTTGGAGCTTAACCTTTTCTATATGCAAAAATATAAAGTATAACATTTTTTTTCCACTTCTTGAATTAAGTATGTAGACTAACATCATGGTAGTGTGTATATAAAAGAGAAAGATATCACTTTGTGCTGATAAGAAAAGCTGGTAGAAAYCATTAAACGTGCTAAATTGAGTGTTTTTTGTTTTTTTCCCAAACGTCTCCCGACATCAGGGGAACACCGGCGTGCTTCTGGGGCTGCTGCTCGTCTCCGTGGTGGTGCTGGTGGCTCTGGTGACCGTGATGTCGGGGATTGGGGTTTGCGAGRACTGTGGTGTCGGAGGCGGTGGGGTCTACTCCATGATCTCCACTGTGCTGGGGGGCAGGGTGGGGGGCACTGTTGGCCTCCTCTATGTGTTTGGACAGGTGAGTGGCTGTAATGTTGGCTTTGTTTAGATGCAGTTTTTTTTTTTCCCCACAACTTTTATTGTGTTCTGACGTCGACCCGCCTCCGCAGTGCGTGGCGGGGGCCATGTACATCACGGGCTTCTCGGAGTCGGTGACGGAGCTTCTGGGCCTGCAGAGCCAGTGGGCGGTGCGGTGCATGTCGGCAGCTGTGCTCCTGGCTTTGCTCGGAATCAACCTGGCAGGCGTGAAGTGGATCGTCAGACTGCAGCTGCTGCTGCTGGCCGTGCTGGCGGTCTCCACGCTGGACTTTGTCATCGGCACCTTCACACACCTCGATCCTGGTAAGACTGGGGTCATGATTGTTCGCTCCGATTCTGTCTGTGAATATTTTTCAATTAAATTCAAACACACTTGTTTTTAAAATCAGAATTTGCCYAAGACTATGTTAAAACAAGTCTGCAGCAGCATTTCTAATATTGGTAAAAATGTGTGAATACACACTTGTGTATTATTATAGTACGGTTCTCCACTGTTGGTTACCTGCTGCAGCAAATCTGGATATATTGGGCTTTCATTCTATCTTCAGATATATTTTTTCCTTAAGATTCCTGAAAGTATACTGGTTTGGATGCTGTGCTTCTTCAGTTTCCTCTGCTCATAACTCTGACATTTTACTGTAAAAATAACCACATTATTTGGAAAGTTATTTTATTTTCAGTTTTTCAAAGTCCGAACAATGTTTTGCATGCATAAAATTCAGATTGCTGAACAGATATCTTGGATAAAGGGCAGAACCATTTGGGAGATCACTAGTAAATAATAAAAATGAATATCCAGAACCACCAAGGACGATGCATAAATATGAATTTCACCAAAACATTCTTATAATAATTTTAATAGTTTTCTGCAACTTCTCTACATTATAATGTAATTCTTATTGACAACTTTTGACTGACTTTTTTTCTGATCAAAGAGCATTAAAATCAGTAATAACAGAAGTTTTAAAACATTCAGTTCACTTTAAATGAAAAGCTGTAAGCCTTTATGGCCCCTAGGTGGAGCTCCAGTATCACTTATGTCCCTAAATCTGTGTTTTTATTGAAATTTGTGTTGAGCTGTTTTTACTCAAAACAATACATTTCTGCCACTTTTTTTAATGAGGAATGTAGTTTTATTTTTTATTTTTAGCTGAGTTTGAGTTATAAATGTGTTTATCTGTAATTTTTTTAGAGGATTATATCCTTTTGTTGGCCTGCAGGAAGACCTTCCCCACATTTCCTGTTCCCAGCGGTTATCAACTTCCTGTCCAATGGGAAGAGAAAAGTGTTCCAGCCAGTCTCTATAAAACACATTTGTCACATGAATGATGTCTGCATTTCCCTTTGAAAAATGTGTACACAAAAAAAAATGCACATGGAGAACATCCTTTCCCCTAAGCTACAAATTAATTAGACTACTTGGGGTAAGTCTGTGCAATATTCAGCTTCATACCCCACAAAGGGGTTCCAAAACCAGACCCTCATCCTGACTCCAGTGTTCCCCGGCTGAGCGCTCACCATCCAGTTTGTTTTAGCACATGGTAGACACCAGATTGCAGCCCTGAAGAACCTCTTGAAAAACCAGCTGCAACAGCTACTCCAGGTTTTTCCAATTAAAAGCTGCTTTGTTTGTGTGTAGTTGTTTGTGTGTGTTGTGTGCGTGTGTGTGTGTGTGTGTGTTGTGGTGACCTCATGTTTGGCAGAGGCCCAACAGGTTCCCTACAACAAACTGAAAACAGTCCAAATTAGCTTAAAGGGATCCACGATTAGTTGTAACATTAGATTTTATTTAATAAACATATATTTTAACTGTAAAATAAAGACTGTAAAAATACTGT